TTACTTACCTGCCACATCTGACTTTGATGGAGAAAAAAGTCAGTGGGTCTCTGTTTCCTTATCGGCCACCAAGCAAGTCATTTATGACTTCTGTCCTCAATGTAAAGTAGTCTTATTTCTGCCTAGACCACCCTCTCCCTCTTCTCTGATTTTACTAAAGGCCCACATCTTAGGTGAAGATTCTGGCCCTCGGCTGTCTTCTTCTCATGTCCTCTGTTGTAGTTCCTTCATCATGCTGGGTGTCTTCACCTGAACTTTTCACCTCCACACAACTTCAGTCATTTTCTCCTAGAGCGGTACAGTGAGCACGCGTCTCCCCGGCTTTCTCCAAGTCTTAAATTCAATATCTTGCTTTCTTTTACACGTTTTTCTATTTTTCACAGTCATCTCCTGCCACCAGTACTTTATGGTTATAGTAAGGTCTTGCCTCAAGAATTGGACACATTCGTCCGATAAACATATTTTATAAGTTGGTACTGAAAGGTGATTCTTTATGGGGAAGATGAGAGAAGTGGGGCTAACTGGGCAGTTGGCACTGAAGGAGGAACTGTGTGGCAACTTTAAATGTGGCTGACTGAGTAGGCCCTAGGGAGCAAGTGACGTGTCAGCAAGGAATTGGAGGAGGCGCAAATAATGACCCAGTTTAGATATTTGAAAGGAGTCACCTGACATCACCATCAGCTCACAGAAGGCTTCTATCTAAATGCAAAGGATACAGTACAGCAAGAGAGGGTGCAGGCAAGCACTGTGGGTCAGAGAGACGCCTCAGGCACAAGGTCTCAAGGTTCCTTATTTTAAATTTTAAAAAGCCCATCATAAATCCCACTGCCCTTATCTCAGCAAAAAGTGAAACCAGATATTCAGGCTTTCCCACAGGTAAAGAGAGAGCTTTACCGTTCCAGCTGTAAACCAAGTCTGTCTTAGACAGGCATAGAGCTGGCAGAGCAACCCATGCATATACCTGGGCAGGAGCTTTTCAAGCACATGAATGATACAATGAAAAAAAAATGTCAGGACTAATCCAGGAGAGAAGGGATGTTACCTCAGACCAGGGATAGTAAAGATGGTCTTAGGAACAAATTTTGAAGATGAACCAACAGAATGAATTGATAGTTTGGCTGTAGAGTGTAAGAAGTACTTAAATGATGTTCATTGCTATACAGCAGGAAGATAGCGAGGCTACCATGTAAAGCCAGACCTCTCTGTGTCTAAATTTGTGCTCTTAATATATTTAAAAATTTATTTTAAAATGTACGGATGTTGAAGGAGAAAATCTGCCTAGGTAACTTTGAGCCAGGACCAGTGTCTGATATGCCACGATTAAAAGGTTACATTTCCTCATAGATGAATGGAACATAGTTGAAGTATTTTTGACGTGGTAAGGGAGGGATTTAGCAAGTTATGGTGTGCTTTTTACAAAATTCACAGGGATAAATTAGGAGAAAATTCAGTCAGATTCAGTCAGAACTGGAGACTAGTGAAATGGAATGCACAGGAAAAGTGTGATGAGGGCAGGATTGGTTAAGACGGAAAGAGCAACACAGTTTTCAGAGACCTAACAGGGGTAGACTTGGTTGAAGTGGTGACTGGATGGATGTATTTGGGTTAGAATAAAAGAGAACTACAAAGACAAACATTTCTGACACTGTGGATAATGACAGCTTTTACTAATGGCGTGTTGTACAGCAGCTGAGAACCAGCTTGGTTTTGGAGCCATGAAGCGGAGGGGAGTAAAGAAGGAGTTTGTTCTGAACATGTGTGTGTGGGACACCTGTTGGAAATGCACAGAGGACTGTTGGGAGTTCTCCTCCTCTGTAGATAAAAATAGAGAAAAGAGCAATTATTTCCTTCTTCACATATTATATTGCTCTTTTTCTCTCTATTTCCTTGTTCATGACTTAGAGTGCATGTAAATGAGACATATATAAATAGCAGTTTATAGCATTTCCTTTTAATGTGGCTATCACAGATGTTTCTGGAAAAAATCAAATCAAAGAAACAAAAAAAAACTTGGGTTTACAAATTCTGTAGAGCAGAAGTATATATTGTGACAGTATTAGCTGTCTTATATTAATTAATTGATATACCTGTAGTTCTGTAGTAAAATTAGACAACTTTTATTAACCATTAAAAATGTAGCATTTCCTTTTTCTGTATTTCTTTTAGAATGGTAACCAAATAATACTGTCAAAAGCCATAATTTGGAGAAAAGATATTGCCAAGAAACACACCATTAACTGGCCTGGTTCAAGAATTTTAAAAATCTGCTTTTCTCTCCTTTTGTGATGGCTTAAAACTTTCAATTTCAAAAACAAAAGTAAATCCTGTGAGTGAAAGTATGTCGCCTTGTGTCGATTCATTCTGTTCTCGAGCCCAAGTTTGTGTGCCCGATGCACACTGAGGCCAAACAAAGGGAAACGTCAGTGTTTGGAGCAGAGAAAGGTTTATTGCAAGGACCAACCAAAGAGAACAGACAGCTCATGCTCAAAAATGCCAACTCCCTGATGGCTCTTGGGGAAGAGTGTTTATAGGCAAAATTTGGGGCAAGGGCTGCAGGGTATGGAACCTTCCCCTGATTGGTTGGTGGTGAGGTAACAGGGTGCTGTTCCAGGAATCTCAGTCATCAGCCTTTCCTGCCAGTGTGGGTCCACATGCTTGTGCTCAGCCTGAAGTGACTTCCTGCATCTGGCTTGAGGGTGCCCTAGTTCCTGTTGAAGAGCTCAGTCATACGCGTCAGATGGTTCTGCACATCCCCGAAGACGAACGGCACTAGGCCCCATGCTGCACTGTTGTTTCTTCCTGCCTTCCCTGATTAGTAACTGTTTGAATACGCCCTTTGGAGCTCAGGGAAGGTCTAGGAAGCTGAAAACCTTTTTCTGACAAACTGGAAGCTGGGGACACGGAAAGCCTTTTGTGCCCAGGAGGGCCCACAGGGGGCCTTCTACCGCCATGATCCTCTAGTAGGAAATAAGCAGGTTGGCCTCTTTCGAACCTGCGAGGCTGTTGCATCCCAACGGAAAACTTTCCATTGTGCACTCCGGCCACCGACTGCCCTCAGATACCCATGGCCCTGCTAATCGCTCCTATCTCAAGAGAGGACACCTAGAATCTGCACCTCTGCAATAGTTCATGATTCTCATCCCCTACCCATTCCAAGCTTCAGGATATTGAGAGGAAGGGTTGCTAGACAAGGTCAGCCCCAGAGCCCTCAGAGAGTCACTAGCATCCATTCTATCTTCAAGGAATTGCTCACACTGAGTTCCTGGTCATAGATAACTGTCCTGTCTCCAAGTGTTACTTCCCTGCCCTCGTGGAAATTGAGCTCTAGAATATATCTTTGTCCTTTGAAGGAACCCAGACTTGCTGCTCTTTCCTGACTGAAGCTGAGCTTTTCTGGGTGACAGTTTCTTGCTTCAGTGCCCCCTCTCTTCATCTCCCTCTTCCTGAGATGGGTGCACTTCTGCACACCTCAAAGCATTATTTGTGGATTAGAGATCCATCAGCCTATCTGGAGTCTAATTAGGACCTACAGAATTTCCATCAATATAAATGAAGGTGCTCCTGGGTCAGGGGTGGGAGCATCTCATCACAAAGACCAAGAGTTTCCTTTTCCAAATGAGCAAATGATGAATGGATACACAAGATGTGGTCCATCCATACAATGGGATAGTATTCAGCCACAAAAAGGAAGCACTGATATTGCTACAGCATGGATGAACCTTGAAACCGTTATGCTAAGTGACTAAAGCCAGTCACAAAAACCATGTATTATGCTTTTGCATGAAACATCCAGAACAGGGACATCTAGAGAGACTAAGATTAGTGGTTATTTACTTGTGAGAGTTGGGGAGGTAGGGGTGGGGATTGAATAGCTGGGGTGATGGTAATAACTAAAGGGTAGAGGACTTGTTTTTGAGATGAGGGAGCTGAAATTGACTGTGGTAATGGTTGCACATATCTGTGAATACACTAAAAACCCTACAGTCATTCACCTGTGTGCTTTAAGTGGGTGAACTCTGTGGTAAAAATAATACACATCGGGATGATTCTACCATAACTTTCCCTCACCCCCTTTGCCACTAACTTATTTGGGGCCATTATGATCACTGTCCTGCCTTATTTAATCATAATTTCTCAGGATCAGTTTCCCAGGAGTACTACCGCCTAGCAGGTCCAAGTTTTAGACCTGAGCAGAGTTTATTTTTGCAACTATTGGTATAACACATCCTTGCTGTGGAGTGTACTGGGATAAAGGAAGGTGTGGGTGAGTGGCAGGCAGAAGTTGAGGTAGGTTTTGAGTGTGAGTAGCTTAAGATATTTGTCAGAAAATTCAAAGACAATTATATGTTCTGTCTTCTGCAGTGGTGTCACTTTTCCCCTCTGAGTTTGTCTTGCTGGCCTCCCCATTTCTAATGCTTCCTTTTTACGGTTCTAACAGTAACTGTTAACAAGACACGCTTAGGGTACATTTCAAAGTTTTCTTTCCCTTTCCTCAACAGATTATAATCTAACATTGTAAGAATAGGCACACAGTTGAAGAATTGTGCTTTTTATTTCCTTATCCAGGATCGAGTTCAATATTCTTTATTTTTGTTTGCAAAGATTTTATTAAGTCAGCAGTAACAATTTAAGTAGAAAATTTCTTGTAAAAAATAGTAAATATACCTATTTTCCTCTTTCTCTTCCACCACAGTAAATAAACGTTGTCAGAAAACTGTAAAATGGAGAAAGGAAATTACCAGAAACTTCCCCAGAAAAGCAAATAATGCTTATTTGCCCCTTTATCCCTACTGAAGCATTTAAAATATGGGATCATATGTATAACTGATTCACTTTGTTATAAAGCAGAAACTAACACACCACTGTAAAGCAATTATACTCCAATAAAGATGTAAAAAAAAAAAAAGACGTACACTTAGTCACCACAAACCAGCTGTGCGCAGACCCTTAGGCTTTTGTCTGCTGTTTCTTCTCCCATCCTCGAGTGCCCAGTCGCTCAGGATGCCCAAGGATGAGCCAGCACAGCTGAAAGCGACTGCGAGGCCCTGGTCCTCACCCCCAGGGCCCGGGGGCCTAGCGCGCTGAACCCCTGACTGCTGCTGCCCGCGAGCCTCACGGCTGCCCAACGGTCTCTGACCTTGGCCGTGCTTCCAGCGCCCCGCCCAGCGATGTTCCTCCTCGTTGCCCTGCTTGCTGAGCTTGGAGGGCTACACGCCCTCCAGGGTAAGACCGCGGAGCCTCGACTTCCTTCTCCCTCCTTTGGCTTCTGAGCAGGGCTGGGCTCTTCCTGGGGAGCAATTCCTGTAGCTCTGGGACCCCTACCGCCCCTTTCCCCGATTCCCTGCTGGTGCTTTCCTCCCACACCCCACCCCTACGCCACCCACCCCTGACCAGGGCAGGGGAAGGAAGATGTTAGCCAAGGAGTCCACTCTCTGCATCAAGGGTCCAGTGTCTCAGCAGCTGAGGGTCCTTCTGGGTCACCCACTCTGTGGCCAGAGGATATACGAGGTTCGGCACTGCCCTGGATGTATTCCTCAGAGACCCGAGAGAAACAGGTCCCAACGCGGTTATGGAAACGAACAGGATGGTCCTATAGAACTGCAATGGCTAATTTCTGTTCACTTGTTTGTATCTTAGCCATTTTCAGTGTGCCATTGAAAATCTATTGAAATCTGTGGACCAAGAAGGAGGGTAAACACATGTAGATAAATTGACTTACAATTGTGGACCCCACCATGGACTCAAACTTAAGAACCCAAGCTTGACTGAGAGCACTGTTGCAAAAAATCCCATTTTCTTACTACAGATTCTGAGGGAATATTCCTGTATGTCACAGTTCCACAGAAGATGAGGTCGAATGAGAGTGAAGATTCAGAGAAGCAGGTGAATGATCAAGGATATTAGTTTTATAATTTAAAAGTTTAAGACGAGTTTTCTTTACCTTTGTATTGAATCAGATCCTACTGATTTGTATTCACTTGCAAAGCAACATATTTTCATTGCTAACTCTTGTGCCCTTCATCTCTTAGGCTCTTCTGACCTATTTTTTCACAATTTTCAAGAAATAGTAAACACTTTTCAGGAATCATACTCGTAGAAAAAAATCAATATTAAATAAGCATGACAATGAAATTTATGAAAAAAATTATTAATGGCCTCTGTTAAAGTGACAGAGAAAATGGTCTTGAGCAAGGTTTAGACCTGCAAGTTTTGACCCAGAAGCATCAGACTTATTAGAAGTAATGCCAAAGAAAAAAAAGAAAAGGAAAAATAAAAATGTCACATTTGCCTGATTATGATGAAAACATTGTCAGTAAATAAATATTAACTGGAAAAAAAAGTTGAAAACTGCGTACCTGCTATTAAAAACTGATTAAATTGAAGACACTCCATCTTGAATATTTTCTTGATTAATATACTTCAAATTGGCATAATTATAATGTTTTAGATTAAAAACTAGAAGTCACAATACAGGGGTTTAGATTTTCATGTGGTTAAAGTGGTGTGGTCAATATATAGAAACCCTGGGAAAATTTTTCAGTTTGAAGGAACAATTTTTGGAATAAGGGTAAGTACAAAAATTAAGACTCCATTAACTCTATTTTGACAGACAGTACTGGAACCTATCATGATTCTCTTCTACTGCTGAATCACTGTAATAAAACTTAAATGTGAAATTGTACTTGAAAATCACAGTAAAATAATTTCCTTTAGAGAAGCATTTTCATATACTAGTCTCATTTAATTCTCACATTAACCTTTTGAAATGTTACATATATTTTCTTATATATATGAGAAAGAGGATTACAAATGTTCAGTTAAGGGAGTCAAAGTTATAAGTTTAGGACATGGAATCCAAACTTTATGACTCTGATTCCATTATAAATAAACTACTTTCTGTTGAAAAACTGTTTGCATAAAAGTTTCTTCTCTTTTTTTTCTGATTTACTTCTGTTTGTATGTATATTGTCATTGCATGATCAGTTTAAGCTTCAAGTTGTTTACTTCAGTTATCACAATGATGCAGGACATGAAGTGTTTTGAAATCTCTGTAGAGTTCACTACTGGTAAATGGTCTGTTCATATTTTCTATTTCTTCCTGGTTCAGTCTTGGGAGATTGTACCTTTCAAAGAATTTGTCCGTTTCTTCTAGGTTGTCCATTTTGTTGGCTTATAGTTGTTTGTAATACTCTCATGGTCCTTTGTATTTCTGTAGTGTCAGTTACAACTCCTTTTTCATTTCTGATTTTATTGATTTGGGCCCTCTACCCTTTTTTCTTGATGAGTCTGTCTAAATGTTTATCAGTTTTGCTTATCTTTTCAAAGAACAAGTTTTAGTTTCATTGATCTTTCTATTGTTTTTTTTTGTCTCTATTTCATTTATTTCTGCTCTGATCTTTATGATTTATTTCCTTCTACTGACTTTGGGTTTCTGTTCTTCTTTTTCTAGTTGCTTTAGGTATAAAGTTATGTTGTTATGGTGCATTCATCTACGTGTCTGTTTTTATGTTGGTGAGATACTGTTTGATTACTACAGCCTTGTAATATTGTTTGAAATCACAGGGTGTGATGTCTCTGGCTTTGCTCTTCTTTTTCAAGATTGTTTAAGCTATTAAGGTTCTTTTGTGGTTCCATATACATTTTAGGATTGTTTTCTCTATTTCTGTGAAAAATGACATTGGAATTTTGATAGGGATTGCACTGAATCTGTAGATCACTTTGGGTAGTATGGAAAATTTTACAATATTAATCCTTTCAATCCATAAACACGGAATATATATTTATCTGTGTCTTCTCTAATTTTATTCATGATTGTTTTTTAGTTTTTACTGTATACGTTTTTCACCTTCTTGGCTAAATTTGTTCTTAAATGTTTTGTCTTTTGATGTTATTGTAAATGGTATTGTTTTCTTTATTTTCTTTCTGGTAGTTCATTGTCAGTATATAGAAACACAACTGATTTTTGTATTTTGATCTTGTGTCTTAAAATTTTACTGAATTCATTTATTAATTCTGATAGCTTTTTGACGTAGTCTTTAGGGTTTTCTATACATGAGATCATGTCATCTGCAGAGATAATGTTACTTCTTTCACCTCTTTTGTTCTCTCTGCTCCAGAGCCAGTTCCTCTAGTGGCAGCTGTGTAAGGTGGGGCACTAGATGTGTGGACAAATTTCATTGAGGGAGAAGCTGGAGAATTAGCTTTATAGTTGGGATGAGTCAGAGAGAGAAAGCACAGGGAATTCCCTCACATCTGTTCAAGTCCCCAGATGACTACTATTTATGTACCCTGTCAGCTCCCTGGTGCAAGCTATTTAGAAGCTCAACCCTCAAGCAGCAGCTGGGGAAGTATGCACTCAAACCCTTTCCACAGAGAAGTTGGGACCTTTGTGTTTTTTCCTGTTCCCTCTGCCCTAAGCCCAGGGAGGTGGTCCTTGGAAGTGCTTGCACTTCTGTATAAAAATCTTCTCTTAAGATGAATCTGGGGAGTCTGTGAATGCTGAGCCCCGTCAGGTCTCAGAGCTAGGTGGTATGGGATCCAAACCTTCAGGTGGCAGCATTAAAAGTTGAGGTTCTATAGCTAATATGTTATAATAAGTAGAAATGGAGTACGGCCTTTAAAAATTATGAATCACTATATTGTACCTGTAACATATAATATTGTACATCAGTATACTTCAATTAAAAAAAAAGGTTGAGATTCTAGATGTGTAGACAAGGTCCTATCAGGAAGAAACTGGAGACTTGGTTTTATTGTTGGATTGAGCCTGGGGGAGTCGTCAAGGGAAGTGCCCATCGGCCCTTTCAGGCTACTGGGAGGATCCCTGTCAGCACCCACATGTAGTCTGATTAGAAGCTGGACCCTCAAGCTGCAACTGGAAAAGTGTGCAGTCAAACTCCTTCCAGGGAGAAAATAGGAGCTGGGTGCTTTTTGTCTGCTCCCTCTATGATGCACCCCGGGGGGGGGGGGGACTATGGGAAGTGCTCATGCACACATTTAAAAACTGCTTCTTTGTTTAATGGGGGTCTGAGGAATTAGGGATGTCAAGTCCCAGTGGCTCTCTGAACTAAGTTATTTGGAAGACAGTCCCTTGGGTGGCAGTCTTAAAAGTTGTGCTGCTGGATGCCTGGTCCAAACCTTTTGGTTCTGAGGGGCATACTGAGAGTTCGGGGTTCCCTCCTGATTGTAAGCACTTTGCCAGGGGTGGGTTTTGTGGTGAGTGTGTGTATCAGCCTTTCCTACCCATTTTCACAGTGGGTACTTTCTCAGTCACCCAGTGTTGAGGAGTCACTGTGCTACTTTCTGGATTTCTCTCACAGGGCATCAATCCATGTGAGGCGTATGTTTGGTGTATCTGTGGGAGGATAAGGCAGGAACCTCGTATCCTGCCATCAGACTGATTTCATATCCCTGTGTATAATTGTTTTTGATTGGATTAACCTTGCTAATTTTATTTGGTTGATTGCTTGATCTTGTGGTTTTCCTTTGAAATGTGCTATACTTTGTTTTGGCAGGCAATTAAGTTACTTATGAATCAGATAGACAATTTCATGCTGCCTTGTCATATCTTTAGGATGAATGTTTAGAGTGGCCCTTACTCTAAGATTAGTTTCTCCTTAACACTAAAATTTGACCCTTCTGTGATCTCTAGTGGATGGCATGAGTGTTCAGTGACATTCTTCTCCTCTGGTTGATCAGACCTTGAATATCTCCCAGCACTATGTGAGCTGTGGGCTTTATTCCTCAGCTGCCCAGTTGTTCTTTGCCCATGGTGTTGGACAGACCCTAATTTACCCAAGTGATTCTTACCATCTGGTGTTCATGCCGTTGAATAAGCTCCACCTATTGTTACCGACCCGGGCTCTTGGCCTTCCCCAATCAATAGAAATTGATCAGAGGCCAGACAAGAAATTCAGGCAAGGCTTTACTGACTGGGGCCCCTGCTGCAGCAGAGGAAGGAGAACGAACAACAGGTCCCCTTTCTTGCTCACTCCAGGAGGGAGGGCAAGCTTGTTCCTTCTATGGGGCGAGGGTAGGGGTGTGTCCATGGGTCAGGCCAGAGTGGGGGCTTAGGTGTTTTGCCCACCCCTTAGGTGGTGGTGTGTGCAGGGTGCATGCTCAGTACTGCCCTTTCGCTCCCAACACCCTGTTTTTGCTCCAGGCTCTTCAAAATTGGCAGCTGGAATTTGCCCCAACTAAGGCATACACGCAGTTTTTTTTTTTTTAACATCTTCATTGGAGTATAATTGCTTTACAGTGGTGTTTTAGTTTCTGCTGTATAACAAAGTGAATCAGCTATACACATAAATATATCTCCATATTCCCCTCCCTCTTGCGTCTCCCTCCTACCCTATCCCACCCCTCTATCCCACCCCTCTAGGTGGTCACAGAGCACCGAGCTGATCTCCCTGTGCTCTGCAGCTGCTTCCCACTAGCTATCTATTTTACATTTGGCAGTGTATATATGTCCATGCCACTCTCTCACTTCGTCCCAACTTACCCTTCCCCCTGCCCATGTCCTCAAGTCCATTCTCTACATCTGACATGCAGTTATTTTTCGTCCCATACAGTTTCTTTGTATTTTGTTGCTCCAGGAGAGGTGTATCCAGGATACAGGATATCCAGGTGTATCCTTTGCACTGCAGCAAAGGGTCCCAGGTCCCAGCCTGTCTCACTATGAGTGTGGGAAAGACCTGTGACTTCCTTCTAACCAATAGGATATGGCCAAGTGGATGGACGTACCTCTGTTGATCACATTGTGTTAAATGGCAAAGGGTGGATTTCAAGCCTACGTTGTTCTATTATATAAAATTCAATTTAGCTAGACACTTTCTCACCCTCCTGATGATCTTATAAAAGCAACCTGCTTTACTGTGTACCATGTACACTCCCTGTTCCTGGATGCCATCATGTCAAGGTAATGAGGACCATTATAACTTAGTCCCTGTAGTATCAGAGCTCGTAGTCCTGGAGCTGCAGCGTTCCTCCCTAGCTTCATTCTCTCAGGTCTGTTTTCCTCCCAGTATATATGTGAAGCATTGCAAAGTGGCTCTAGTGTTTGTTAGTATGTATATATGTATTTATAAACTTGCTATTGTTTCATTATATTTGGTGTAGAATGTAAGCCTATAGCCATGCCTCATTCATTTCGGCTAAGGATGAATATGTTTTTTCTAAATATAAACAATTAAAATCTAGTATTAATAAATGGTAAAATTATATTTTTTTCAAAATATAGTTTTAATTTATTCTTTTCAAAAGCCATCCCTACAGTAAATTTATCACCCTCATCCTGAATTTATTAGAAAAATTTTTAATTTTTACTATTTAGAACAATAAATTCTGAAGAATATATTCTTTTTTAAAATGGATTGGGTGAGTCTTTTTCGACTTGAGTGAAAAATACTCTTTTATTTTATATATTTATGATTTACTAAATCGTCTTTATTTGCTTTATTTTAGGTGACTTATATCATTACAATTGATAAAAAACCATACACTCTGCATCTCAGGAAACAGTAAGATATGATTTTCCCTTAAAGCTGAGAATTTACTTTTTTAAAAATGTTTTTGTACACTATTTAAATTCAAGAATGCAGTGAAATGTAGGCTGTTTAATTAGTCAATTTTTCAGTTTAGGATTCATTAGGTCTTGAATATGAAGTCTATGAGAACTTTGCATTTGTATATTCCAGCTTGTTATTTTCAAATTAAGAAATAAGTTACGTATAAATAAGAGTATAAAGCCATTGAACCCAAGAACTGCAAGCTGTGTATCAAGTATATCCGATGTGAAATCAAACATGTGTACATATCATGTGGTTATTGGTGGAAAATTTAACTAGTGGCATACTTTGTATGGAGGTATTAATTACATATGTATTTATTTTTAACAACTTTATTTGGTAAATTATATATATATATAAAATCATAAAACTCTGAAATGTATAATTCAATGATTTTAATATCGTATTACAATTATCAACCATAAATCAGTTTTCGAACATTTCATTCCCCACCTAAGACCCATATTTAATCCCTGTCATCCGCCACTACTCCAGGCAACAAGCAATCTATTTCCTGTCTCTTAATTTGTGTTTTCTCAACATTTTATATAAATGGACTCAAACAGCCTCTTCTCTGCCTTTATCTTTGAAAATATATATTTATCACAACTGCATTTTGTCTGCCTGCATCTTTGTAGTTGAACAAGCCTGGAGAAAATTGTCCTCACTTAATTCATGACTATTCTCTTGTAATTCATGATCCTTAAACTCATGTTGGCCTTTAATGTCGCTACCATTCCATTAAAAGTGTTTTTTGATAAGATCATCCAAGATCCTCATGTTTCTAAACGCCAGTTATTTTTTACTCTTCATTTTTCTTGACCAATCGGCCGCATTTTGTATAGCTGAGCAGTGTCTCCTCCATATAATAGTTTCTTCATTTGGCTTCCAGGGTACCGCAGAATCCCGTGTTTAACTCTTACCACTGTGCTCACTCTTTCTCAGATTTTGTTTTGTTTGTTTGTTTTCTAGATTCCTCCTCATCTCTTCAGTCTTAGAGTTCTCCATGGTGCTATTCTTAAATCTTGTTTGTTTGTTTTTTCCCCTAGCTATACTCAATCACCCAGTTATTTCATCTACTCCTATGGATTTAATACCATTTATGTATTGATTACTCCCAAACTTGTATCTCTCCTTTTTTCCTCTCCATATTCATTTATTTGACTACTTATTTGATAACCAAGAGGTTATGAGAATTCTCATATTTAATGTGTCTAAAATGTACTTCTGATCCTTTTCCAAAATTTGCCTTTCCCACAATTATCTCAGTAAATGGCACCTCTACTCTTCCAGTTTCTCAGAACAAAAATGTTAGGGTCATTCCTGACATCTATTTTTTTTCTTTTGTTTTCCCCCCACATCCAATGGATTATTAAATCCCATGCGATCTGCCTTCAAAATGCATCCAGAATGGGACCTCCACCACTGCTGCAATCCTAGCTCGAGCCACCGTCATGTCTTGCCTGGATGACTGTAATAACCTAGCTGATCTCTCTGTTTCTGCTTATTTGTCCTACAGATGGTTCTCAACACAGCATTCAGTCTGATTCTATTAAAATGCTGGTCTGACCCGTCCTCAATCTGCTCAGACTCTTTCAGTGGCTTCTCATCTCGGTGACACCATCTCTTACTGTGGGCTCTTGTTTTCACACTTCACCACAGGCACTGCCCCCAGATGTTCTTTGTAAACACAAAACATATCTCTGCCTCAGGGTCTTTGCATTTTCTCCTTGCTTTGGCCGGAATAACATTTCTGTGCAAATCCAAGTGGCTTGTTTTCAGGTCTTTACTTATCAGTTCAGTGAGCCTTTCCATGCCATCCTGTCTACATTTGCAACCAACCTCCTGCCACCCTGGGCCTTATTTATGATCACCTAATGTACTAGCGTATGTGTCTCTCACTGCCTTGAAGACCCGTGGTTTTCTCTTTTGTTTACTGCTGTATCCCAGTGCCTCGAAGAGGATCTGTCAGATCATTGACACTCAGTAAATCTTGTTGAATGGAGGCACAGGCAGGCACACACATGAATATCTGATATGGAGGATTCAAAATCTATTCCAGTGTTAAGAAATCCTAAACTCTCTGAGTCAATAGTTCTATGAATTTACACTGTTATGGCATGATAAAATTACTCTAGTTAAGGAATATTATTATATGAATCATATATTTCACTGTTATTTTTATTATTTTAATGTTTATGTTCATAATAAATTCATGATTCAATCAGTTTTTTATTTTTGTTTTTCTTAGCTCATTCGTATCCCAGAACTTTTTGGTTTATACATATAACGAAACTGGATCTTTGCATTCTGAGTCTTCATATTTTAAGGTAAGACCCAGGTGTCTTAGACATTTATTATCACACGTTTCCTTATTGAAGTGGACATATTATTACCACTGGGATATGTTTGTTCCATGTTGGCAGTTTCATACAATTTTATTCCACATTCCATGTATGATAGAGATGAAATCCAGACCTAGAGAACACTCATGGGCACCTAGGTGGTACAAAGTAAAGAGAGTTGTCAAATACTTATTTTCCTTGAAAATCAACTTTAGTAAATCTGTATGATACACAATCTTATTATTTTCAACTGTTTTAATGTTTTGAATATTTATAATGTTTGCCAATACACTTTTATGCATAAATAATTTACTTATTTGCCACTCTGTACTGTTTTTCAGATGCATTGCCATTACCAAGGATACGTTGCAGATTTTCCAAATTCAGTCGTGACACTCAGCATCTATTCTGGACTCAGGTAATAGCATTTTAGAGGCTATTTATACGTGAAAACTTAGGATATGCTTTAAAATGAAACTTAGTGGCCGCAAAACACAAATCTGGGATATTTAAGGAGAATTCAAACCTGAACGTTCTCTTCATGATGGCCTTACTTTTATTAATAATATTAATAAGTAGACCTTAGTCATGCCAATTGAAATGAAATCACTCAAGGGAATCCTGACTGGAGATATTTTCAAGATATTGAGCAGAAAGAGATAGATGCAGTAAAACAGAACAAACACCCCCCACCCGAATCCTTTAGAACATCTCCCTAGATGTTATTGTTGTATTATCTATCAGTTATCTGGAACAGTTATGGAAAATGACATTAATTAGTTGCTTAACTAAGCACATATTGTATGCTCTCAGTGTAGGTGTACTTGGTATCAGATGTAAAATGACTGATTGAGAAGGTACCTCAGAGGTAAAAGGGCAGGGATAAGTGATTTTCGTCATTGATAGTGGCAGGAAGAAGGTGGTGAGTTTATCAGATGAAGACAGGTCCAGAGCAGAGCAAAAATCTCTTCCTAACTTCCTTTTGCTTTTGGTTGCCTGATTTCCAGAATTTGCTCATATCAACTCAGAAAACTGACATCCTCTGAATGTGGTTTTCCTGCATATTAGTCTTTTTAGATCTCCACTCTATATATCCATTTTCTCTAATTCTAACCCCTGTAAGAATAGGAACTTTTTATCCTTGGAATTCTCAACAAATGTCTTGGTTCCCAGCAAATACTTGGCCTTAATTAATACATCTTGAATGAATGTGACTACTATACAGAAAATACAAAATACTTTTCAGTATATTTAGTCTTTTTAATACATGAGAAAAACTGACGCAGATGTGGTCACTCAGTCACTAATGGTAGCTGAAAGAAGGCAGGGAGAGAGAGTGGGTTTAACACATGTGCCTCACTATGGTTTCTCATTTCTTACAACACTTTGGATTATAGGTCTGCTGGGATCATAGGCAGGATTTTTATATCACTGCTTTCTTAATATTCAGGGGATTTCTTCAGTTTGAAAATATCAGCTATGGAATTGAGCCATTGGAATCTTCAGCAAGGTTCGAGCACATAATTTATCAAGTGAAAAATGACAATCCAGATATGCCAATGTTAGCAGAAAATTACAGCAATATTTGGCAGAAAGACGAGCCCTATAAAATCCATTTAAACTCACAGGTAACTGAGACAATTTGGATGTTATGACGCACTATAAAATTACTTCTGTAGAATTGTGTTAATCATGAAAAGGAACTACTTAGCTGTTGAGTAGTAATATAAAATTTGGTATCTTTTTTCTACAGCAGCAAATGAAACATCCATGTTCCATCTAAAATACATGGAAATATGCAATAATGTGTGTCAAGCTTATTGTTGTATGATGTATAATGTAATATTTCTTGTTTTCCATTTTTATTCCAACAAAAATGCATATTATTGAATAAAATTTAGGAATATAGGAAGAATAGTTACCACTACCCTGGTAAAATTACTTTTAATATTTTGACATATAGCTTTACGTACTACTGGGACATATCTTTCTAGAATACTTAATCATTTGTATATTAATAAACTCTCTTAATTTACTTGTAGGCTGAATATAGAATTCTTTCTTTCATCACTTTGAATATTTCAGTTCCCCGTCTTTTGGACTCCATGGTCTCTGATGAAGAATCAAAAATTATTCATCTTATTGAGGATTCCTTGTACATGATGAGTCCCTTCTTTGTTGATTCTTTCAAGAGCCTCTGTCTTTGGCTTATGACAGTTTTCTTATGATGTACCTTTGAGGGGATCCCTTTGAGTTTATCCTACTTGGAGTTCATTGAGCTTCTTGAATGTTTAAATTAATGTTTTTTCATCAAAGTTGGGAACTTTTTGGCCATTAGTTCTTTGAAGATCCTTTCTGCCCTTTTATCTATCCCCTCACTTTCTGTTACTCCCATTATATGCATGTTGGTGTGCTTGAAAGTGCCCTACAGGAACAGAACAGGTTCTGTTCATTTTTCTCCATTCTTTTTTCTTTCTCTTCCTCTAACTGTATAATCTCATCTGACTTTAAACAGGTACAACAAGGGAAATCTTTGTGGTGATAAAATAGTTTTGTATCTTGATTGCAGTGCTGGTTATATAAACATACACATGACACTATGATGTAGAGATATACCCATACACACTGTACCAGGTCAATATCCTGGTTTTGAAAACATACTATAGTTTTGTAACATGTAACCACTGGGGGAAACTGAGTGAATAATATATGAGATACAGTGAGCTATTTTGGCAATATTCTATGATTCAATACTTATTTTTTTTAAATGAACACAAAGTTTTACAAAAGGAAATAAAGATAACCTATTAAAAACAAATGAATTTTGAAGTTCATTTTATTGAAAGTGACATCTGACATTATGGTGAATAGTATTATAAGTTTGTTTTAAAACATAGGTATCAAAGTTACATTTTTTATTTATTATTTTGAAAATAAGAATATAAATTTGGAAAGGCAAATAGGATAAAAAACAATGCTGTTATTAAAATATGAAACCTACTGTGCAGAAACATACTCGAAATTGGTTATGGTGCACGCATAATTTATAATTATACTCAATCAAGCTGCAATGCAGAAGACATGGTTGTTAACATTGACTTATATTTTTATACAGGCACAGTAAGGGTAACCAAAATACAGAATACCTTTAAACTTAATGTTGACCACAAAGGAAAAATGTCAGCATCTCAGTATATACATACATAAGATGCAGGCGTAGTTTGCTTCCCTATGGAAATATAAACCTAGGCTCTACTGTCAAGTCCAGTTTGTTTGTTTGCCTGTTTATTTATAGTAAGCTAAGATATTTTATGACAGACCCAATCTTTGTATCCTCCTTACTCTTCGATTTAGTTACCAATGCACTTGGGTCAAGGAAGAAATTTTGGTTTCTTTAAAATATCTGTGTGTGAAATGGTATCTCAATGTGTTAGAAATATAGCTCATGTAGAAATTACCATTAGAGTACTAAATGACGATGTAGTAAATTGTTGATTCATAGCTGACTGACTTGGCACAATCAAGGATTATTACCTCATATCAAGTGGGGCATGCAGCCTATGCTCTGGAGCTACAGAGCTATTCACTTTCTCTTACGCAGTATTAATAGTGAATACCTAGACTCCCACCTTACTCTATCAGGCTCCCTGGGATTCCCTTAAACCTGGAATCTGTTTTCAAGTAAATTTTCTGATTTACAATTAATTTATATTGTTAAGTCCTCTTGAGGGTCTTATATACATCCTTTTTGCGTCCTTTACATGTCACTCTCTGTGCTTAACAAATTCAAAACATGTTAACATTTGATAAATTCTCCTTTCAGGAAAAAACTCTTTCAGAACTATTACCCCAGTATCTAGAAATGCACATTATAGTGGAAAAAGCTTTGGTAAGTCAAACTCTCCCCTCCTTCCCTCACTCTCTCTTTTCTTTCTTTCTTTCTTTCTTTGCTTAATGTTTTATTGCTATCACCTAGAGAACACCAGCTGAAATGTTAAAACTTTTCTGAGTATTAACTTTATGAAACCAATTTATGGAAATGTTTAATATTGTTAGCTGTCTTACAGGTTTCTAAATTAATATTTCTAATGATCATGGAAAGGTAGCTACACTTTTTGCTAAATGTTGATAGAAAAATTAAAACACGGAATTGCCAATTTGGGGTAATTTACCTTTGAGACTCCAGACATTTTTATTTAATTAATTAATTAATTAATTTATTGAATTTTTTTTAAAAAAGAGATTTCCCTTTTTATTTTTTAAAATTTATTTATTTATTTATTTATGGCTGTGTTGGGTCTTCGTTGCTGTGCGTGGGCTTCTCATTGCAGTGGCTTCTCTTGTTGCGGAGCACAGACTCTAGGCACACGGGCTTCAGTAGCTGTGGCTCGTAGGCTCTAGAGCTCAGGTTCAGTAGTTGTGGCGCACGGGCTTAGTTGCTCCGCGGCATGTGGGATCTTCCCGGACCAGGGCTCGAACCCGTGTCCCTTGCATTGGCAGGCGGATTCTTAACCACTGCGCCACCAGGGAAGCCCTATTTTATTTATTTATTTATTTATTTTTTATTGGAGTATAGTTGATTTACAATGTTGGGCCAGTCTCTGCTGTACAGCAAAGCCACTCAGTTATACACATATAGACATTCTTTTTTTCTTATTGTTTTCCATTCTGGTTTATTACAGGATATTAAATATAGTTCCCTGTGTTATATAGGACCTTGATGTCTATCTCTCTTCTTTCTTTAAACATAATTAAAAATTTCCTTAACTTCAAAGACGTAATGGAATTTTCTGATTATTTTCAAATATAAATATTTAATTCTAAGTGTGACTTAGATACGATTAGAACCCCAAACTAGCCTAGGATGCCCAGTGTTGTCTGCCTGCGTCCTCATCCCCAGATTAGGCCAGGGTCTCTTTGGCCACACCTCCTAACTGCCTTGCCCTCTCTTTAACCAGCTGTAGCCTCTCTGGTCACAGTGTTTTCTTTGAACGTATCAGATATTTACCATCTGACCAATTCAGTTAATATTTTTCCATCTTTTTTGAGGCATAATTGATAAATATGATTGTATATAATTAAATTGTACAATGTGAAGATTTGATGTACATGTACATTGTGGATTGATTACCAAGATCAAGATAATTAACACATTCATCACCTCACATAGTTAACTCTTTTTTCTGTGTGTGTGTGTGAGTGTGTGTGTGTGTGTGTGTGGTGAGAACACTAAAGATCTGCTTTCAACTTCCAAGTATACAATACCATATTATTAACTCTAGGCACTGTGCTGCACATTAGACCCTCAGAACTTATAACTGAAAGGTTGTACCCTTTGACCTACATTTCTCCATTTCCGCCTCTGGAAACCAAAATTCTCTTCTCTGTTTCTATGAAATTGGACTTTTTTTTTTAGATTCTACATATAAGTGATACCATACAGTTTTTGTCTTTCTCTGGCTGGCTTATTTCAGTTAGCATGATGCCTTCCAGGTTTCTCATGTGGTAGCAAATGGGAGAATGTCCTTCTTTTTAATGACTGAGTAATATTCCATTGCACATATATACCACTTTTTCTTTGTTCATTCATCTGTTGATGGGCACTTAGGTTGTTTTCGTATCTAGGCTATTGTGAATAATGTTTCAATTGTGAATAATGTTTCAGTAAACATGGGAATGCAGATATCTCTATGAGATACTGATTTCATTTCCTTAGGATGTATACTGAGGATTGGGATTGTCAGGTCCTATGGTAGTTCCTTTTTTAATTTTTTAAGGAACCGTTATACTGTTTTCCATAGTGTATGTACCAATTTACATTCCCACCAACAGTGCACAAGCGTTCCCTTTCTTGACATCCTCACCAGCATTTGTTAGCTCTTGTTTTTTCGATGATAGCCATTCTGACAGGTGTGAGGTGATATCTCACTGTGGATTCGATTTGCATTTCCCTGAGGATTAGTAATGTTGAATACCTTTTAGTGTACCTGTTGGCCACTTGTGTGTCTTCTTTGGAAGAATGTCCATTTGGTAGACATAATATCTTTTGAGTATCTACCTAAGAGTGAAATTGTTATATCATCGGGTTAGTGTATATTACTTTTAGAGGATATTGATAATCTCCAAAAGTGACTATAACAATTTGTTCTTCCATATTCTCACAAGTAATTGGTATTGGTAGTCTTTTTAAAATTGTTGCCATTCTGGTGTATGAATACTGAGAACATATTGTGGTTTTTATTAGCATTTACTTGATGACTGAAGTGCAGCACAGTGAATAGGGGCAGTGTTTTATAACTCTGAATGGGATATAATCTATGAAAATATTGAATCACTATACTGTACACCTGAAACTAATATAAGATTGTAAATCGACTATACTTTAGTTTTAAAAAATGTATTTATGAGTTTCAGAGGAAAAATTCTTTCTTTTTTCCTTTACCCTATTTCATCTTGTTCTTTAGCAAACATTTTTGAATCATTCATTCCACATAATCTTCACTTTACATCATTACAATTTCTGTCTTTTTTCCTAAAGATTTATTTGAGCATTTTGATTTTTTTTAATGCTTATGTATTTGCTTCTTCTTTAATTACTAAGCATGCAATGGGAAATACTGTGGTTGATTCCCTCTGTGTTATAGAAAATGTCTACCTCAAGAAATCCCTTTATAATACAGAGGGATCTGTGAAGTTATTTTAGTACTTCTTGAGGATTTCAGTTGTTTCTGCTGGACAATGTCTTTAACATATATAACAAGTGAGAATCTATGTTGAATGCCCAAGTATGATTTTTTTCTTTTTGTTGTTTGTTTTCATTTATTGTAAATATTATCATCTTTATGTTAGTATGCTTTAAATTGTCTGACAGATCCTATGGTTTTCTTGCCTGGTATCACCAAGATATATTTGCCATAAAAAAAAATTGCTGTCACTCACATTTTTTAAAGAGTCATAAAAATTTCTTTTTCAGCATGATTATATGGGATCAGAAACGATGGCTGTAATGCAGAAAATTATTCAGCTTATTGGCCTTGTCAACACAGTAAGTTTTAACTTCTTTACATTTACAATTTTATAAAAAGTCACTGAAAACCTTTCCATTATATCATGACAAATTAATGACTTAAAGCCCTTTATTTGGTTTAATATCCAAAGTAATCAAGTAAACTTTTTCTTTATTTTTTGTACTGTTTTGATGTAATGATTTATGTTATTTGAATAAATATACTGTAAATCTTATTTTTAGATGTTTAGTCAGTTCAAATTGACTGTGATACTATCCTCCTTGGAATTGTGGTCAGATAAAAACCAAATTTCTACTAATGGGGATGCTGATGATTTATTACAAAGATTTTTGACATGGAAACAGGACTATCTTATCCTACGGCCCCATGACGTAACATTCTTACTTATGTAAGCACAATATTCTACATTAATAAAGAGATATACATAAAGAATTCCGTTAATTTTATAATTTAATGCCTTTATTGTGTTCTTCAGCTTTCTGTAGGCCCCTTGGAAAATGTTAAAGAAAACATAGCTGTTGCCATTGAGGTGATAGTGTGGTTGGAAATATAATAAAAATAAAATAACCTGAATCACTTATATGACAAAATATTTTGGAGTATAATTTATGCAAAAAAGTCTGTCTTTCATGAACTTTTATGATATCATAAATACAGACAAGCCTCAGCTTACTAATGATGTAAAATTGACACTATTCAGTTAACATTACCTTGTTATGTGAATACATTTCATGTCTACTGTTTGATAAAGAAAGATTTGAGTGTTTTGGTTACATTTAATTTTTAAAAATTCTTATCTTTAGAACAGGCAAGATTTCTTTTCTACAGATTAAAAATCCCTTTCGTTTTAACTTTTAGTGACCAAAACAGTGAATGCTGAATAAGAGAAACTGAGGAGAATTTGAGATAAATAAAATTGTATCAAGTCAAAGAGTTAGTTTAGGAAAGAAAACTGGCATTAAAGTGAATTACAGTTTTCAATGATTTGAGCACCTTGTATAATATATTAGATATTATTCAGATAAAAAATTATATGTTTGACAAATTATTTTAAATTCTATGGGAGATTTAATTTAATAAGTAAGCTAGTAAATTGTTCTGAGTAACCATGCTAATAAAAAAGCCATACTATAATGATGTAGTTACAGGAAACAGCCTAAATATGTGGGAGCAACATTTCCTGGCACAATATGCAATAAAAGCTGTGATGCAGGTATTGCTATGGTATGTAATTTGTATCCTTCTTTACTGTTTTTTTTTAACTTTATATTGTATTTTAAAAGTATTATTTTACATAGTTAAGTAAACTTGATTTTTTTTCTCTATATCTCTATCATTATTTTGTTGGGACACCATTATTTTAATCTCAGAAAGTTGTTTTAATCATAAACTTCAAACATAGGGAAATATGCTAGGTATTTCACCAGCTAGGTATAATGGATACTAACTTTGCATCAGATTTTTAGAGGACATAAAACCTTAGAGAAAAGTTAAAGCTTCCTGTTATGTCTCCTTCAAATTCAAGAAATAACAAAAGTCATGATTTCATACGTGCCATTTTTTGCATACTTCATACTATTGTTACAAATATATGTATCCATTAGCTATATATTATTGTTCAGCATTTTTCTTTATGTATCATTTCAGAACTATTTTGAATAGCTTGTTAAAAGATGTATACATGTTGAAACATATAACTCTACTACTATTATTTTTTCTTGCAAAATTTTTATCAAGTAACACACATATTATGAATAAAAATCGTTTTACAAGACATACTGAAAACAACTAAATCAGTCCTTTGCATAATCTATACTCCTTGAATCCTCTTTCCCCTTTTTTTGTCAACCTCTCCCTCCTGGCATACAACTTAATGTCTATTTCCTTTCAAATGAAAGTTTTATTGAAGTACATCATATATAGAGAACATTGCACAAGTCATAAGTGTATAGCACAATTAATTTTGGCCAAGTCAATACATAGGTATAAACATCCCAGAGATCAAGAAATAAAATCTTATCAACACTTCAGAAGAATCATGCTTCCTCTCACTTTCAACGCATACCGAAGAAAACCACTATCCTGACACTTAATCGCTGGTTAATTTGATCTTTCTTTGAGCTGTCTGTAAATGATATAATAGAGTGTGTGTTCTTGTGTGTGTCTGCCACATATTTGCTCAAAATTACGTCTGTGATAGTTATTCATGTTTGTATGTGTAGGAATAGTTTGTTCATTCTTTTACTCTATATTTCTAAATAATATGCCCATTAAATTTCTTGAGTATTCAAATTTAGGCATTATCTGTTGACTTCTTATGTTGAAGTCCGAATTTAACATCCTAATAGCTCATCATTTCTACATTCTGCCTCTTCTATTCTTCCTCTCTATAATTATACAGATTATTAGAATTGTGTTTAATTCTCTGATGAGGCAAATAATGAACTGAGATTGTCGCCTTTATTGCATAACTTTTGGTTCTTCCCAAATTAGTAGTTACATCATACTGTTTTTGTCCAAATTCTTTAATTAAGTTATAAATTGCCTCCACTTTCCTACATGATTCAGAAATTCCTTTTTTTTTTTTAACTCTATAGATGTATCTTTTTTTTTTTAAACCAATCTACGTTGGACTTTTTGCATAGCTGTTTAAGAATCTTCTGTCTTGTCTCCTTTGGAATATGTGTATCCTTTCCTGGCTTGCTTACTCATTTTGGTTAGAATACACACTCCTATAATTTACTGAAAAAGTAGGTGGGTAGTAACTTGTTTGGGAGTTGCGTCATTGAAAATGTAGCAATTTTAGGGCTTCCCTGGTGGCGTAGTGGTTGAGAGTCCGCCTGCCGATGCAGGCTGGGCCCGTGGGCCATGGCCGCTGGGCGGGCGCGTCACAGCAGTGAGAGGCCTGCATATAGCAAAAAAAAAAAAAAAAAAGAAAGAAAGAAAATGTAGCTATTTTAAAAGATTGGTTAATTTTGGTTTTGAAATAATTGCACCTTGAAATTTTAAAAGTCCTCTCCTTTTACTTTCTCTTTAGAAATTTAACACCATTCTTAGTCTCACTTATTTGTATGTGGTCTGCTTGTTTTCTCTGCAGAAACATTTAAGATCTTTTTATCATTGCGAGGTATCTTTTATCATCCAATATGCTTGTTATATTGATGCCCTTTCAATCTGGATACTAATTTACGTCTGACCTGAGAAATTTTATTATATCAATATTATTTATTTGCTGATCTTTTTCTTTCCCTTTCCTCTCTGGAACTTGGTTAATTATATATGAGAGCATTTTGACTCATCATCTATTTTTTTCCTCTTATTTAAATTTTTTCTTTTATTTCTACATCCTCTAATATTTCTTAATATTTATATTGTGGATCAGTCCCTCACTAGGTGCTCTCAGATCCATTTTCTGCTTATTACCTGCTCTGATTACATCATAAGAACAATATATTCCCTGGACTTCTTTGGCTTCTGGCTTTTGGGTATGTTCAGCAAATGTGGATGATTGGAGAGAGGAAGGGAAGTGTCATAGTGTCTTTACATTCTGGCCTTGCCTGGAGCAGTGCCCCAGAACCATTGCTTCCTGGTCGTGTGAAACATCCCCTCCCTCTGCGCTTTTTCCTCCTGCTTATCAGCACTTGTTTCTGAATTCTAATGACAGTTCCTCATTCATACATCCAACCAGTCTTGGCGTTGGTAGCAACATTCTGCTTTTCTAGTCTCAGAGTCACCTCATCATCCTCTCTTGCTTCAACAATAATTTGTTTGTTACCTGTTACTCATTTGCTTTTATTAAATTCTTCTTGGATCCTGTGGTGGCTTTAAAATAATCTCTTTTTTTCTTGTAACTACTAGGCAAATATAGCTGAGAATCACACCCCAAATTAATTGTTCATGTTGCAGAATTAAAAATGCAAGGTGGCACCAGATCTGTTATTTTATAATTAGGGTATTAATTGGAAAGGAGTGAGACTTTAGATTTGGGATGGTAACATTGGATGAACCAAGCAAGATGAATCTGATAATTCGAAAACCCCAAATCTGTCTGAGGATTTTTTTGTAGTAGCTGATCCTCATCTGCCTGGTGAGGTGAGCCTTCTAGCTTCTCTTGCTTAGAGATCCTCTAATGACATTATTTGAGTTGGATGCCTTATAATGATACATTCACTTCAAGTTCTATCTTAAGGATTAGCAAACTGTAAGTAAAGGGCCAGATAGTAAATGTTTTCAGCTTTGCAGGCCATGTGATCTGTGCAAGAGTCAGTGTAGACAGGTACAGATTAATGAGCAAGACCATGTTTCGTTAAAGCTTAACGTATCACTACTAAAACTTGAGTCTCATATAATTTTCATTTGCCACAAAATAGTGTTCTTCTTTTGATTTTTTCAACTATTTAAAAGACTTAAAAAACATTCCTACTTGCAGACTTTACCAAAACAGGTCACAAGTCAGACCTGGTCTCTGGACCATAGTTTACTGACCCCTGCTCTATTCCCGTCAGCCCTTATGTTCACTGATTAAAAATAAAAGTTGGGAGGGCTTCCCTGGAAGGCAACAGTTTATAAACCAAAGAAATGGGGAACAACTGAAGGAATAGATATTAATGGTTCTAAACAAAGAAGAACAGAATTATATTTGATTCATACTAAATTTATTAATATAGGTGAAAGTACTTGAGATTTTGGATTTGAAGTACCAGCTCAAACATTTGGGATTGGTTTTAATCATTTTACTGATTGACTGACATGTGTGATCAGTGGTCATCTATTTGCTGTGAACTTGGTGTAATGAAAAGAAAGGAATTCATTGTCTTATAAACATGGAGCTATTGGAGTATATTTATGATGTCCATCAAACTCACCCAACTTTTATCTATGCTGCCTGTGGTGACTACCCTCTGTAGGCTGGGAAAGACAGTTAGTTATATGAGCTGTTTGATAGACTGGAATTCTCTGTGTAGATAATTAGTTCATCTGAGAATAGAGATAATTTTATTTATTTCATTTCAATATGCATGCTTTTTCTTTTTCTTGACTTATTCCACCAGGTAGAATCCCCATTATGTTGTTGAGTAGAAATGGTGAGAGTCCTAATCCTTGCTTTCTTCCCAATCTTTGAGGAAGTGCATTGTCTTTCACCATTTTGTACAGTGTTAGTCATAGGTTTTTTTGGTAGATGTCCTTTATCAGGTTATGGAAGCTCCTTTTGATTCCCACGTGCTTAGTGTTTTTTATTTGTTTGTTCTTCCAGAAATTGATGTTAAATTTTGTCAAATCTCTTTTTCTACATTTATTGAGACACATATGGTTTTTATTCTTTAGTCTGTTAATATGGTGAGTATATTATTGACCGATTTTCAGTTGTTGAACCTGCTTTGCATTCCTGCATTGTCTTTTTTTAATTTATTGTTGCCTTTTGAGTTGGTAACATTTTAAGAAAATTTGCCTTTAAGTTGATGAGTTACATTGAAATTTAGTTATCTTTTCTGATATTGACTATTTCTGGATTTGATATCAGGGTAATAATGACTACATAAAATGAGTTATATTTTCTCCATTTCTGTTTTTCCGAAGACTTTGCTTAGAGCATAAATAAATTAAATGGAGGGTAGAAAAACAATAGAAAATTTTGACAAATCTAGTTGATTTTTTTAAAAGACAAACACAATTGACAAACCCTTATCTAAACTAAGCAAAAAAAAAGACTCAAATGGATGAAATCAGAAATGAAAGAGGAGGCATTACAATGGATGTCTGATAAATAAAAAGGATAATAAAGGAGTATTAGGAATGATTTTATGCCTACAAATCAGATGACCTGGAAGAAATGGATAAATTCCTGGAGACATACAACCTAACAACACTGAATCAAGAAGAAACAGAAAGACTGAACGGTCCAATAACAAATAAGGGGTTGAATTAGTATAGTAATCCAAAACCTCCTAATAAAGAAAAGTCCAGGACCAGATCGCTTCATTGGATATTTCTATCAAGAATTCAAGGAAGAATTTATACCATTCCTTCTGAAAATCTTGCAAAAATAAATGAAGGAACACTTCCAAACCCATTTTATGGGACCAGCATCACCGTGACGCCAAAGCCAAAGATGCCACAGGAAAAAAAAAACTACGACCAATATCCCTGGTAAACATAAATGCAAAAATCCTCAACAAAATAGTAGCAAACCAAATTCAACCAAATTTAGCATATTAAAAGTATTA